TCTCGGGGCCAGCCCGTGACTTGGTTTCTCTCCGTCCCCGCGGAAAGTGACAAGCGCCGCGTCCTGGTCTCGTGTCCTGTGGTCCCTGGAGCGTCCACGGCGTCCTGCAGGCGGCCAGAGGCCCTGAGCGCCATCTGCAGTGGGCAAGGACGGCTGGGCGGAGAAGAGCATCCCTGAGGCGTCCCCTTCGTGTAGCAGCCACTAGAAGATCGTTCGGTTCCAGATTGGAAACGGTGTTCACCTTATCAGACTGGTAACGTAGCCTCTGTTGTCCTGATTGGCACGAGCCTTTCTTTCACCGAGCTAATTTTTAGGACTTTGCTTTGATTGTGTTGATGTCTGACGTTATTTTTTTAAATTATGGAAGCAGATGATTTATTAATATTCCAGAAAATGACGTGTATCCTCCTGGTTTTGTTCTGTCTTGGGATGAAACATGGCTCACGCTGCTTGAGATTCTCAGGGATGAACTTAAGTTGCTGAATGCGTTCGATCTTCTGCTCCTAGAAACGTCGACGTAAACCGCCTCCCGGCCAGCTCACCTTTCTCCTTGTTCGACTTGACTCCTTGAGGGAAGCATCGTTTTCAGAGGGACTTTTCCCCCCCGGACTTTGTTTTTCTTTGTCTTTTGACTCTCGGACGAGGAGGCGCTCACATCCGTGAGAGGTGCCAAGCGAGGGGAGGGCCCGGACCGGCCCAGACCCAGAGGAGGGGCGTGGCCCCGTCGGTACCCTACCAGCTGCCCCCCCGTCGAGGCAGCAGAGGCCTCAAGGGACCCGCAGCTTCTCCGACGGCTCCTTCTCCACTTCACTTCCACACCCCCACCGCCTGCCCAGACATTCCGCTGGCCCGGGGCCTGCCCACACCAGGAGGACCGGGTCTCGGTGGATGGGGTCGCCGGCCAGGCCATGGTCCCTGACGGCTCTCTGGCCACTGAGGGTGCAAATGGGTCCCAGGACTGCAACGCCGGCGCATCTTCCCACCCGCCTCCGCTCTATAGACACCCGCCGAGAAGAGCCGCTTTCCGTGGCGAACAGCACGCACTCCGGGTCTCGTGGGCCCGTGTGGACAGTCTCATCTCCCAGCATGACGTGATTTGACCACTTTGATGTAAACTTTTGTGTTTTATAAGATTTATCTTGTTTTTATTTTTCTACTTGAAATTGTACACACTTGGAAAGCACCTGAATAAACGAGACGCTTCTCTCCTTGGTCTGGGCAGGGCGTTCCTCTGCAGGGACCGGGCGGGCTCTGTCTGAGGCTGGGCGGGCTCCGCACACCCCGCCGCCCCCTGCATGGCCTGGGGGCTGCCAGGCTCCCCGCTCTGGCCCACGGGCCGTGTCCACCCGCTGGCCGTGACGTGCTCCCGGCGACGCCCCCCTCAGCCCTCTCTCTTCTGTCCTCTCTGTCTCGCAGCCTGGCCTCCCAAGCCCTCCCCTCCTCCCGGCTCCTCCTCCCTGTCCTGTCCGGGCCCGGCGGCCCCCTCCTCTCCGCGGAGCCCCTGGCTGGCCTCGGGTGCGGGCCCCAGCGGCCGCTCGCCTGTCGCCTTGCTGCCGCCCTTCCTGCGCGACCAGGCCCAGCACGTGCCCAGGATGGGGACCTTCCACCTCTTCTG